TCCTCTGGAATTCTGCCGTAGCCACCTGGAAGCTCTCCTTGGCCGCTTCTTTGTCCTTCACCTTCTCGAACTCCTGGTTGAGTGCCTTCTTGATGTCCAGGCTGTTGTTGGCACCCTGCTCGATCGCCTGGTATGGTTCCCGAGATGTTTGGCTCGAGGGGCCCTTCTGTTTGTCCTCCTTCAACATCTTCTTCAATGCGGCTGAGGTGGTGTTGTTCTCCGACCTGCAATGGCACATCTTGCACACAACGTACGAAGCGGTCGCATTGCCTCCTCCCTTGAGTTGATGCTTCGGGTGCGTGCAGGAGCTGATGGCCATCTTTGGAGCTTCCTTGGACTTCAAAGGAGACAGGGTCTTGGCACCGGTTATGATTTTGGAATACGCACGCTCGAGCGTCTCCTCCTCTTCCTCCTTTGATCGCAGCATAAACTGCTCCGAAGGTGACAAGTATCCGGGGAACCATGACTGCACCAGTTGCTCTTTTTCTGCAAACCATAGCAGCACGAAGATCTTGTCGAGCATCACTCTCCAGTTGCGATACGCCCTCTTTGGGCGATGACCATACTCCAAGGCGAGCTGCTCCCGTTCTCCTTTCTTGGGTGTGGAATGCGTCAGCTTGCCCATGCGCTCGAGGATTCCCGACATGGCAACCCTCTTGCGCAGAGAGGGATCCCTCCAGGATCGGGGCAAAGCGGTCGCGGATTCCGCTGCTCAATTGAGCCAGCATGGCTCGGTTGGTGTTCAAAATGATGAAATCTTGCGTGCAAAAAGGTGCATTGCTCACATCCACACTGAAACCTTCTTCATGAAAATCAGAAACCTCAATGGTGACGTGTCCGGAGGGCAGCTCACGCACGTCGATCGTTGTGTTCTCGTCCGAGAGGTGGAAGGTGAGGTTGGTGAAATTTATGATGACTCTGAGACTCTTCATCATCTTGACCGGCAAAAGCAAAGGAACCTCACCTTCAACCACCGTTGCTTCGAGCACTCCGTTCACCCCTCCGACTCCTATGGGAATGTACACTACTCCATGAACTTTGGCAGGACCTCCAACCCCTTTTGCTGAAGACTTCTTGGAGGTCCAAACATATTGCAAACCAAAACTTTTCAAACATTCTTGCAACCTTTCCAAAGCACACGTCCCTATCAATCCTCCTTCTGCTGCCGTGTCAACTATGCCATGGTGAGATCGTGTTGTAATGCCACAAAATGTTGAGGACTGCGCGCCCTTGTACTCGGACTTGGTTTCTGCTTCAGCGATGTGAGGGCCGTGTTCCCTCCTGTGCTTCTCTACAAACTCTCTAAGCCAAAAATCGTGAACCTCAAAATCTTCTGTATGAGAGAGGCTCAAAAAGCTATTGGGCTCTTGCTCATCCTCTTCGTCTGGCGCCTCTGAAATGACCGGGAAGCCGGACTTCGTTGACGCCGATGAAGAATTGGTCGGGGCTTGACTGGATCCTGAACCCTTGTTGCGGTCGACGGGTGGATTGTTGCATTCTCGACTGATGTGTCCAATGGCACCACACCGCCAGCAGCGTGTCCTCAGCTTTAGCTGTTTGATGTGCACCTTGCTCTTGCCTTTACCTTTTCCTTTTGACCAGCCTCCTTTGCCCTTAGGATAGTATCCTCTATTTATCTTCTGGTTCTTCAAGGCCTCCCTGACCTCTTTGTAGCTGGCCAACGCTGCATTCACTTCTTCTTCTTCGAAGATCTGATCCAGATCTCCTTCCGCCACATACACATAGTTCTCTCCGTCATGCGGTGTACGGGAAACCCCGTCAATCGAATGAATCGTTCATCGAATACCTCGCCCGCATGGAGAGGAACTTCAGCCGACTTGCCAAGGAGGGTGTTGAACTTCCATCCGGAGCCACCGGATACATAGTGTATCGACAAGCCTCACTCACCGAGTCACAGGAGCAGCGGCTTTTGACCTGGTGCGATGGGAGCTACGACAAGGTCACCATCACCAAGGCAATTCGCAAGTTGGACAAGGTAGTGAAAGAAAAAGGGAGAAAATCCAACTACATGATGGACACCGAGCAGGTGACTGAGGACCCGGATTACCTCCTCGATGACGAGGATTCTCGAAGGCCCGAGGAAGACTAACTTCCAAGTGTGGAGAAAAGAACTCACGAAGACGTGTCATGATGTTTCGAACTCCGTCTTCACTGGCGATCTCGTCGAACTCCATCTGCTCCGTGGCGATTTGAGCGGTTCCGCTCAAAGCCCTAAAAAGCTTGGTACCCCTTTTGGATCGTGGGATGTCGGATTCGTGTTCCCACAACCTGACATTCTTCTCGAATGTCCTGAACGTTGCCTCCGGGTCATTCCCGTCGTAGGTAGGAGGAGGATCCCTATCACGAAACCCCTCTCGTGCTGGTTCCCCACTAGCTACGTCATGACTGGAGGCTCCCCTGAAATCTGAACCTCGGCCGGCTCTTCCTGACCTCGCTGGCGCGCCGAACTCCTCGTCACTCATGTTGTGGTCTCCTGGATGTCACCGTGCTCCGCTGTCACTGTGGGCACTCAGCGACAAGCAACGGCAGCTCCTATTTCCATCAAAGCGGACGGGCGCACACGTTCGAGCGTTCAGGGCCCCTTGCAGTTCGAACCGGAATGAGCGGGGTCGTTGAAGGTCAATCGGCACATGACTCCAAACACTCATTTCCACAAAATCTATATGTTGATATATGTCACAATGAGTGAGTGACGATACCGCAGGGCCCTTGAGCTCAGAAACAAGCAACCACAGCGCGCACAAACAAAAAATTCGACGTTCAACATGGTAGCGGAGGGTGGCTGGCAACAACTGCAGGCGGGCTCCGACAACAGCCAATTCGGCGCAGTCAGCTCAAGTCTGGCAGTGAACAAGTACAAGAGCAAGCTCTGGTCGATTGGATCGAAATCGACTACGAGTGAATGAGCCGTGAAAAACAAAAATGGACTGGCAAAGCTGCCACGAGGCACGCGGTTTAAAAGCGCAACGAGCATGGCACAAAGCCAAACTTTTGCACAGACCTTCCAACGACACACTGTGTAGAATTGAAGGCTAATGTTGTTTACCGTTGTCGGTTCAACAATGATTGCCGTTTACAAAATATGTGACTCCACTGTGTTGACAATGAGGTGAACCAAGTGGGGGATACAATGTATACATATATATATATATATGTCACAATGAACAATTATAATTGACAATGCCGCAGGCCCTTGAACTCCAGAGAGAGAGAGAGAGAGAAAATATCAAACCCAAAGAAATTCGGACGGGCACGCCTCCAAACCATGCTGCCTTTCTGGTATGTTTGGCCCAACTGGACGCGGCCGCGTCTCTCCTGTCTACAATCTATAAGATTTTACATGACCCACGCACTACAAGGCCTCTGTTGTCCGCTGGGGCCTGCACTCCTTGCAGATGAATCCGCGCGCGTATACTGGAGTCAGCCAGCACGGAAAGAGAACCACACAGGCTTTCTGTGGTTCGAGCAAGATCTCCATTGGCGTGCCCAACAGCTGGATGGCCGACCTCTGTGAGATGTGCAAACGATGGCTGCGTCTGCTATCAAACCACTGCTGCGCTTGGCTTCCTGTAGCTCGAAGGAACAGGCGGCGCAGGATCTGAAGATGCCGGTGGCGAAGTGGTCGTATCCTTTGGCGCAGCAGTGTCATGACCTTCACTTTGAGTGGCACTGGTGAGATGTACTGCGCGATCATCAGGACTGCCCACATGGGCCGACGGGAATGCTGACAGGAGCTCATGATGGGATGTTTCAGCTTTGGTAGAAAAGTCAACAGCAGTGGAAGGGTCTGCTGGATGCGCAGCGTCTGGCACTGGGATCTCCGCGACGGTGGAGAGAATGTCCGGGAGTGATTCTTCAGAACGATGGGTTTCATGAACTATAGTGGCAACTGCGGCAGGTGGAGGAACTGGCAGGTTACCAGTCTCTGTGGTTGAACCAGGCAGTGCTTCGTCTGGACGATGGACTCCTTGAACAGCAGCGATAGCCATGGCGGTCGGGTGGGCCAGTGGGTGGGGCTTTGGGGGTTCTTGAAATGAAGATCGCTCTAATGAGGATGCACTCTGGTTGAACTTGCGTAGCTTTCCCTCCGTCGAACGATTCCTGGGGTCTTGAAACAGAGAGGACAAGCGTGTTCTGGGCTTCGTGAAGGTTTCGTGAGCGGTTGGCACCTGGCCCACTCCAGCTGATCCAAAGAATGCGCTTGAGCTGCTTGACCAGTGGGGAAAGATGATCCTCACGCTCAGGGCCTTGATGAAGCATGTGGCACTCAGGCATCCTGCACAAAGCAACTTGGCAAAACAGGACCACTAAATCTGGTGTGGTGGATTATGGCGCCCAGTGCTGCCGCTGGCTTAGCCAGGTGGCTTACGAGGAACTGAATAGATTCGCCGGCGAGATGAAGCAAAAATAATCTCGCGTTGCTCTTCCGGGCATGACCGCTCGTCGCTTGCACAACCTCCAACACGAATCCAAAACCAAGGGTTGCACAGGCCAACCCAACTGCTTGAGAGGCCTCAAGTCACGGTTTTGTTGAATGCATGTCCAGATGTTTATCTTTGCTCCATGGCTGTGCCATAGAAGCTTTTGCGGCCATGTGTGCACTTCTGTGCTTCCAACAATCGAGCCAGGGACGGACCTATCCCTGCAAGCCTTCACTTTTTCCATCGAGTGAACCAAACTGATACCTACCCACCTGCCTGCCTACCTGCCTGTACCGACGCACCTACAGACCGACCGACCGACCCACCCACCCACCAATCTCTCTTCTCCTCTCTCTTCTTCGTTTCTTCTCTTCTCTTCTCTTATCTTTTCCTTTCTCTTCTCTTTTCTCTTCTCTTCTCTTTTCTCTTCTTTTCTCTTGCTCTCCCTCTCTCCCTCTCTCTCTCTTTTTCAAATGCACCAGCATGGCTTGATGACAGCATGTTTCTGGTTCAGCAACAACCAGGTGCAATTCAAAAATCCTCATTTCGGCTAGACACTGGTGGGGCGGCCAGATCATTGATGCGAACCTTGGCTTATCTTTTCGGGAAGTCCGCTGCGAAAAAACCATACCAATCCAGGGTGCAAATGTCAGCTCAGCCACAAGGCGGTTTGTGTCCTTGGGTGACAAGGCCCATTGGCGGCAGTGAGGGCATGGACCGATTTGGTTAGAGCGGCTTTTTGTTCGGACCAAGTGACCCCTGCCAGAAGGATCTCTTTCATGGCCTGGCAACAGCACTGTGCACAAGGCGAAGGCGCCACAACCTCCTTACTCAATTGACTCAGTAGAACTCCCAACAAGCTACAAGCTCACACCTCTAAGGCTCACCTTCCCAGAATCCACACAAAACACAGACATGGCTAGATGGATTTTTTTTTGAAAATAATTTGTGAATTACTTCCTTTGTTTCGAGTTGATAGGACTGCTCCAGTGACTTGAGTGATTGTTAGCATGTTGATACCTTTCAATCTCGCTATCAAGACCGTTCCCCTGGAGCCGAGCACAGCTCCTGAAGAACCAAAAAACTATCACAAAAACAAATAAACAAAAGTGTGCACCTGAAACTGCTTCATGTGTCTCTGCCCAAAGATCTTCCTCGCAGAAGTACACCGATCACAGCTGGCTTTTCTTGTCAACTCACGTTTGTACGCATGCAACCTGATGTGTACGTTTGTATCATATCCTCCTCCCAAATGCCTGGACTCAGCAAACACAGTGTGAAAACCACGCCTTTGACATTCTAAGCTGTCAAAATGACCCTTTAAGTAGGCCATCACAAGCAGGTTGGAGGCCATCGCTAGCCGCTAGTAGGTTGTCGTTTTTTCGGCTTCAAATTCTTCAACTTGATGCGATGTTCGTCCTGTGTGTCTCACTTTCCTTGGCTAAGAAGACTTCCATCAATGGCGCAGCCGGAACTACATTGAATTTCCGCTCGAGGGTAGGCTCTGTCAAGTTGTATGACTGCATCTGCATTGAGGCCTTGGACACAAGGAGCTTCTTGCCAGCCTATTCACCACAAGGACCACAGGTATGCTGCTTGTGCTTTTTTTAGGTCCCTGTAAGGGTGCTTCCTCGCTAGGTTGGAGGCCCTTGTGCTTCCACCTTTCCGGGGTTGGAGTCAGTCGGAGTTTGCCAAGGAGCACTCCGCGCAATTGAGGTCCGACTCGCCGATTGCACATTGGGCCATCTCCACACAGGCTTCCCAGTGATATTCACATCTTGGTGGTTCTTGAAAAAGAACATGTTGGCACTATTCACACCTTGGCGCAAGTTGGAGGCCATCGCTAGTAGGGTGGAGGCCATCCCTAGTGGGGTGGAGTGAACATATTCGCTTCCCACTCATATTCACACCTTGGCGCAAGAAAACAGGTTGATCTCTCAATCAATTGATATCCACCACTACAAGTGGTGGTCAAGATCTTGTCTGGCGAAAGCGAAGGTGGAGAGTCTCTTCATGTCCTTTCTGCAGCCAAAGAACTGTGCCTCTTCGGTTTTTCTTGACCTTCTTCCCGCTCAAATTCCAGTTCAATGTAGTTTGCCAAGAGATTCACAAACAGATTCATGTCCTCAATCGTGAAGCGTGTGAGTCCCAAAGACACACCTCAGCCAAGCCCATGGACTCAAGTTCGACACAGCGAGTGCTTATATAGATGTTTCGAACAAATCACCTCCAAAGTCTTCGCAGAAACAAAGCAATGCCCTCCAACCTAATAGCGATGGCCTTTAACCTAAGAGCGATGGCCTCCACAAGTGTTTCTTTGGAGCTTCAAATGAAAAGAGATGCCGAAAAGGAGGACAACGAAGCACAGCTGCCTCTAACGACACTTTCTCGCCAGAGAACAGGCATCGAACAAGGCCTTCCCCGAGACCAAGGAATCATTCAACGCTCCCAGTCGCAGGCGCAAACGGCCGCGGATCGCCCGAGCCTCCTCTTCGCTCCCCTGGAGAACAGAAACAGAAAGACCATTCCCCGTACTTGTGACCTTTTGGCGGATGAAGACCACGAGTTCGGGGAAGGCGATTCAAAACCAGCTTCGAACCCGAAGCCAGGCCTTTCGGGCCACTAGACGTCTTATTGGTCGATGTCGGTCGGTCGTGTGTCATTGCATTTGCTGTTTTTCGGTTTGAAAGTCTGAGGCCAATCTTGCTCCGGAATTGTAAGTCCTAAAGGATGCCTTCAAAATCCTTCAAACGTCCATTTCGCGCCTTGAAAGCTGGCACCAAGTCGGGATTCGAATGAACAGGTGTCTCCGGCATCTCCACATCAAGCATCACAGGGCTCGCATCAGAAGTGGTGGGAACGACCTGAGAGGCTTCTGGAGATTGACTTCCAATCCTTTGAGAGGAACTCTTGGAGCTCTTCTCGCCCTTCTCACCTCGAAGCTCAAAAGTCTTAGGACTTCCACGTGCAGAGCCACAAAGACTTTGTCCGTTCTCCTCCTCTGGAAAGGCATCTAAGAGCTTTCTCCTCAACGTGTGCAGAGACTCATCTACAAGCTTGGAAAAGCTCTGCTTGTCCATGGTCTCGCCGGGAATGCTCTGGAAATGCTGCAGAAGGATGCCGAGCAAAAGTTCCAAGAAGAAAAGAACCTGCTATTTCTGCTTAGCAAGCCCATGGAAGTGGATCACTGGAAACGGAAGGAAACATGTGCTGGAAACAGTTGATTTTGTTTCTCAAAATGTGTTCCCATTTTGTATGTCTGAAAAATGCCCCGCTTTTCATCCATCTTCCGATCTAACTTTGTCTCGGCGCAATTTCTGGTGCTGGCGCGGCACTTTGGTCGGTGATCCCACTGCCATGGACTTTGACAAGGCAGATGTGGTTCGACACCGACATAGCTTGATGTCAAAGTCAAGAATCGACTGCCAATTGAATTGGCCGATTCTCATCTCTCACCGCCTCTGAGAAACCGGGGCCTTCAGCTCTAAGGTCTCCGGAAGTTCTTACCTGCAAAGCCTGGAAAGAGATGGCTGGGATCCGGAAAAATGCCAACTTGGCATCCATTGCTGTATGTTTTTGGATTGACTCTCGCTTCAATTGATGTTTTGATTCTGTCCATTTGTGCTTAGTCAAAGGACTGCAAATGGGGCCAAGTTCCTCCTCGATGCGGATCCTCGACTGAGGTTGTTTGGACGAAAAGCAGGATCTGCAACTAGTAGTAAGGCACCTTGCTACTAGTAGCTTCGTTACTAGTAGCGATGCACTTGTTACTAGTATCTTCGCAGAAAAAAGGCACAAGCAAAAAACAAAGGTCTCACAACCTAGCCATGAGGGCCATGAGTCAGTTGGTTGTACTTCGCGAGACGTTCAGATCGGCAAGGGGCACCAGTCTTGATCTGCCCTGTACGGAGACCAACAACAAGGTCGGCAATGAAGGAATCCTCTGTCTCACCAGAACGGTGAGAGACCTCAGCGGTCCACACATCTTAGTCATCGCTGACATCTCCTGTAATCTCACTGTGTTGTTTTGCAGTTTGTTGCTTTTAGGAAAATACACGGTATAAATATAAAGGTGTTAGGAGTTACCGGACACAAAAGTCGTCCACAACTGAGCTGAGCAAGTGAGCAAGTCTGAGTCAACTGCCATGACTCCCCAACCATTTTCCATTGACATGTTCGCAGCTTCAATCGCTTCAGAGATGGATCCAATCCTCACATGTTCGTGCTCAAAATCAAAGTGGAAGGAAGAAGCTATTTGTGTGTTCGAGAAGCTATGCAGCTATGAGAGCTTTATTTGTTTGTCAGACCACACTTCAACCTCCCTTCCCTCGCCTTTGCGCCCAAGCTTCTGGTTCACTTTCAAGAGCAAGGCATTGCAGGCACCTACCTCTAGCGCCTTCTTGATCCGGTTGGGATTGGTGACAAGCAAATCATCTCCAACAATCTGAGTGTCCTCCAACACTGTAAGGTATGACAACCATGTCCACCCATCAAGCTATGGCACACCATCATGGTGCAGTCCTTGCCAACTTCCAGCATGAACTGCTTGTAGGCATCCCAATCATCTTGGTCAAAAGGATCCTCCCAGGCATTCCTATCATGTAGTGCAGTCCCATCGCTATTAGGTTGGAGGCCATTGCAATTAGGTTGGAGGCCATCGCAATTAGGTTGGAGGCCATCGCTGTTAGGTTGGAGGCCATTGCTCTTAGGTTGGAGGAGACCATCGCTATTAGCTTGGCCCTTGAAAACGTGTCTAAAACAGATTTCGAGCGCCAAAGGCACCTCAATGGACACGAAGGGGTATTTGGATAACCATGATTTGTAGTACTCAATGAGCTGCGGCACGGATTTCTTCATGTCCGCAGCACCACCTCCTTCCTTCTTGAAATCCAGGTCGTAGCACTGGAAAAGTGCAACGTACAAAACTATGCTGACATCGGCTCACAAACAGTCTCAACTCGAACATGGACCGATTCAAAAACAAATCCAACGGCGGCAAAAATCCCAAACCCTAGACGTACTTCACTCACGCGCAAGCCAAGTTCAAAACTCACGTATCTCATTTATCTCTCATCTCTCTTTATCTCTTTATCTCCGAACAACTCTCTCTCCTCACAGCTCTCGCCTTCTCATCCGCCTTGAAGAACTCGGAGGCTGCGACGTCTGTACCAATCTTCACCTTGCCTGGGTTGGAGGAAGCTGGGTGTGAGGGTCAATGAAAACATCCAACACTTGGTCTGTCTAGGAACCATTTGGCAAACTGGGATTGTGAACTTAGATTTTCCCAAGTTTATGTTCATTACTAATTACTGTACTTCATTGATTTCATGCCTGTCTCCGTTGTTGGGACTTGCTGCTATTCGTGCCACGCTGATACACCCACCGCGTTCAGGCTGGTATTTGTGATACTTGCGAGATTGGACCTGCGCGTAGCTGTTTTTCCCCAACTTCGCACAGGGAACCCGTTGTTTTTCCACGCATGGGGGGCACAGGAGGCCAACAAAGCTCCCTGTGGTGACCTCAGGATTTGCAGCCTGATCAGCTGCACATTGCTGCTTGAGCTCTAAGGTCTATTTCCTCATGGTCCTGACTGTAATTAAAACAATGCGTCCATCCTTTGCAGCGGTTACTTCACTGAGATGTACGAATTTCAGGCGTCAGAGGTTTTTTGGAGGTTTGAGCCACACTACTACCTGTTTTACCCAGGCCATTTCTTCACTTAGGTTTTGAAGGGTACGCATTATCTTCCATGTGTCTGGCTTCATGCATGCCCAGGGTGAACCCGAGGAGTGTCCCCTGTGGCCCCGTCGACTGGGGGTTTGTCTTTGTTTCCATTGAAACGCACGCGCCCACAGCGGGCGGAGTAGGCTTGCGCCAAAGTTATTGCCAAGACTTGGCGAATGCTTGAATCTGAGACAGCATTAGGTAACCATAGCGGTCAAAGCTGCCAGCCAGTTTGGCACGGCGCAACGTGGCTGCAGCGGCCGAAGTTCTCTCAAGGTCTGCTGGGGCCTCAATTCCCCTGGCTCCCCTTTCCCTCTCCCCTCTTCCTTCTTTTTGCTCTTTGGGGTGGACGCTTATTACGCAGCTGGAACACCTGTTCCCCTTCCCCTTCTTCCTTCTTCCTTCTCCCTTCTTCTTTATCTTTCTCTTTCTCTTTCTCTTCCTCTTTCTTTGTCTCTTTCTCTTTCTCTTTCTTCGTCTCTTTCTCTTTCTCTTTCTCTTTCTCTTTCTCCTTCTCTTTCTCTTTCTCCTTCTCTTTCTCTTTCTCTTTCTCTTTCTCTTTCTCTTTCTCTTTCTCTTTCTCTTTCTCTTTCTCTTTCTCTTTCTCTTTCTCTTTCTCTTTCTCTTTCTCTCTCTCTTTCTCTTTCTCTTTCTCTTTCTCTTTCTCTTTCTCTTTCTCTTTCTCTTTCTCTTTCTCTTTCTCTTTTTCTCTCTCTCTCTCTCTCTCTCTCTCTCTGTCTCTGTCTCTGTCTCTGTCTCTGTCTCTGTGTCTGTCTCTCTCTCTCTGTCTGTCTCTCTCTCTCTCTCTCTGTCTCTCTCTCTCTCTCTCCCTCTCTCTCTTTCCCTTCTTTTCCCTCCCCTTTTCTTGTTTGGGTGCCCCTGGATGCTCCGTCATAGCTGGGAACCCCTCTCATCTTGTCTTAGTGTGTCCTTGGACGCTTGAGTCGTAGCTGGGAACACCATCTTTTCTTTGCCTTTTCTTTCCCCTTCCCTTTCTTCTTTCCCTTCCCCTCCTCCTCGTGCGCAGCGTGCCTTACAAGCAAGCCAAGCATTTACAACAGGTTTTTTAATGAGGTTCGGCTTTTCGTTCCCTCTTCATTGGCCCCGCAGACCTCTTTTCCTTCTTTTCTTTTATGTCCTTCTGTCTTCACGCTTTGTCATCTTCGTCCTTTTCTTCTCTTGCGCGCGCCCTTGCCTGCGCATACACGCACGCATGCTCCACACCAAAAAACTAGGTTCAGGTGCCCCAGGTTTGTTGCAATGAGGTTTGGTTCATTGGCTGTCCCTCTTCACTTGGTTTCCCTTCATCGGCAACGACATACACTCCTTTGTCCGTCTCGCCTCTTTCATGTTCATCTGTCCCTTTTGCGCGCGCATGTGTTTGCATCACCCCCTTTCCGGGCAGGATGGGGGCGCCTCCTTTCCGGGCAGGATGCAGGCCACACCCTTGTGAGAGGCGTGCGTGTGTGGAACCCTTGGAGTCACAGGGAACCCGTTGGCTTTCCACGCAGGGGGGCACAGGAGGCCAACAAAGCTCTCTATGGTGACCTCAGGATTGCAGCCTGATCAGCTGCACATTGCTGCTTGAGCTCTAAGGTCTATTTCCTCATGGTCCTGATTGTAATTAAAACAATGTGTCCAGCCTTTGCAGCGGTTACTTCGCTGAACTGAGATGTACGAGCTTCAGGCGTTAGAGGTTTTTTGGAGGTTTGAGACATACTACTACCTGTTTTACTCAGGCCATTTCTTCACTTAGGCTTTTGAAGGGCTTGGGGCGATCAGTTCAGTACACATTATCTTGCGTGTGTGCGTGTCTGTCCCCACCTGTGCTGAAGTTCACCACTGAACATGTTTTCCCATTGTACCAACACACAAGGAAAGGCAAGACTCCTGCCAACAAAGGCGCTCCCAATCAGTAGGGAAACCAAAACATGAGTCTGGTAGACCTGCATGCTTAACCAATCAAAAAGCTGTGATGCAAAACAGTTCTTGTTTCTCCACCGCTAAAAACAACTTTGTCAGGCGCATCGAAGATCACCTCTACATGCCTGGGCTTCACCGCTACTAAACCCCTACGGGTTGGCGCAAGCTCCGAAGACCTCAGGAGCTGCATCGTAAGATGCATATGCACTATAGTGTGTGTGTGTGTGCCCCGTGTAGTCAGGGATTCTTTTGAATTGCTTTTTCAGCAGGGAGCGCCAGGGACCGTGCAAGTCTGGCACTAACAAAGACGCTTGCACTGGTCTGTGAAATCAACCCAGGACGCCGGATTGACGTACCTGCTTGGAGAGCAACCTACTTAATGGACAAGCTGTTCCACTTCTGTGTTTTGCAGTAAGCGTCTAATGCAGCGGTGATTCACCTTAGATTGTGAGCTTGACTTTTCTGCACGAACGTCGTCAGCTTGTCGGTCGATCGATCGGTGGTTTCTATAGATTTGCTGGTCACTCGAAACTTGCTGGACCTCCACTGGATGGACCTCTACTTCCTTTCTGGTTTCCTTACATGTTTTTTTAGGAATTGGTAACCTAGGCCGGCGTGTGGCACCGCATTCACATCAGTATGCATTTCTATAAGTGTGTGTTTCGATCCGGATCGGATCACATTGGACACTTTGGACTTCTGGGGCTTGGAATGACATGGGATACGCCAGCATAGACCCCAGATAACAAAAATATTTGTGGACACCACAGCGGCGCGCTGCAGCGGCACCAGCCTTTTCCTATACTTGAAGTAAGAACCCGCCTCGTGCTATCTTAGACAAAAAGTCAGGATTTTGATACAACTTGAGAAAACACGTATCTACTGTATCCGTGTCTGGTGCACACTTGGTGCTTGCAGTGTTCTTGCAACACTTGCTGCGATTGGAAGTAGAGATTTGCATGCGGCATTCGGCACATGGACTGTTTGGGACATCGGAGATGGCGGATGCGGAACACGCCCAGGCTTTTGCACATTGACGGAGCCACAAAACGAAGGCGGAAAGTCACAAGGTAGTATGGGATCAAAGACAGGCTACAGGGCGTGCGAAGGGCACTGCGCCCCTTCAAAGTTGCAACACACATCCAAATTCAACCCCTGTTGTGGCTGGATAGAGCATGTTCGCATGCCTCGAGGCAACCAAACAACCAAAGGTACCAATTCAAAAGCGGTAGACATAAGATATCAAGAACCGAAAAACAATCAAAGGCACTGCCAGCCAGAATTGGCCGGAGACGCAAAGACACAAATGCTCACAAGCCGAAGCCAAAAAATGCTCCAATAGGCCCAAAAGGAAACAACCAAAAGCAAAGGACTCTGGGACTCTGGGCATGACTTCCAGTTTCTTCCAGAAAACCCACAATTGATCCACTTGGGCAACACATTCCACTCCAGTGCCTTCATGGCCCGACTTTTTGATAGCATCCATCAGGACGTCGAGAGCCTCAAGATTGGACTTCTGATCACATCTCACGGCAGTGAACAATTTCCAACGGTGAACAGTGAACATGTCAACACATGAAAACGCAATGGGGTCACTGGCAAGTGGGTGATGTTGCCTCGTTGTTGTCCTGCACATTGGGTGCGAAGCCACCTGAGGAAGGTGGCCCAAAGAAAGAAGAGCGGCAAGAGATCAAGGTCTTCTTAGTCTTCTGTGGTTTCATGTCCACCTTCATCACCCACATTGCATGCATCCTGACCGTACTTCTTCTTGATCACACTCTTCAAATTGTGATAGACTTCCTAGCAATGTCACGTCGGTATCTCGGTATCACTGTGCAATCTGAGTAAGCAGGAACAAGAAGCTACTACAAAGTAACAGGGCATTACTACTAGTAACAAGAAGCTATTAGGTTGGAGGCGATTGCTATTAGGTTGATTTAAGGTCAGGTTTGAAGCAAAGCTTTGATTTCACCGAGCATCCGCTCCGATGATCATCGCCTCCTTGAAGGATAAAGCGCCCACTGGCAAAATCATGAACTCCTGAAACCAGGAGTTACCTTGAAGTATGGATTTACTGATCTGCAGTATCAGGGAGATATATTGATTCATGTCCTCGTGTCGCTTTCTACCAATTGGACCTCCACTACGGGGTTGCATAGTACGTCTGTGTTACATCTGCCCACTTGAAAGGTTCTCTCAAAATGGCCTGGCAAGCTAAGCGGTTGCCCGCATGACTGCCACCATTGATGACATTGAAAGATGGCACTGGCATCACAAACCTGGCTTGAGCTAAAGCAACTAAAGAGCTGCAAAAGCTTCGGCTTTGTGACTGAACAGAGTGGGAAACAAAACACACACAAAGTGGCTTTGTACTGGTGAAAAGGTCAAGAATATGAGTCGGCTAAACATTGAAAGTCAACAGGATTTGGTGAGTTCATGATCGTTTTGCGTGAGCGTCACATTATCGTTTTTGCGAGTGACTTATGGTTTTTCTCCAGCAACAGATACATTAAGATTCGTCCCTGACTCCTCATCCCTCTCACTATTCTGGAACCCAGTTCATATCTCTCCAAGTCAGAATGAAACCATCAATCATCAAGTGGCTTGTCCGTGGGTTTGCCCGCAATCTTCGCAATGTATTGGTATAAAGGCATTCCACCTTGAGCAAGTGACAAGCAAACTTTCTAGGCACCAAGTGGCGATGAAGCTACTTTGGAGCACACATCATCAGAGTCTTCGTAGCGCTCTCAACTGGCTCTCTTATTTTCAGCCACCTGCAGGTTGTCCTGTCTCGAATTGGTAGACACCCTTCATTCATCATACATTCAATTCACATTCCTTCTATTCCTGTTTATAATATGTTTTCCGTGGCAAATTGTTTCTTTGGGTGAGGCTGCGGCTGGCAGATGCCCCAGCACGGCACACGGCCATGGACACTGCCAAAATGGCATTCGCACCTCAGAACAAAGGGATGATTTGAATTTCACTCGGAAATCATTCTGGATGTCGCTAAAATCCCAGCACTGTTCAAGTTTCTCGAGCTTTGCACTAATGTTTATTAATGTAGTTCCTTGAACATGATCTTCATACTACTGAGACTACTGCTGGTCAGCTTCCAAAGGATGCAGATTGAAGAAACATGCGAAACTGAGTAAATTATCTACAATTCTACGTTACAAAAAGTAGGAGTTTGCTCTCGGAAACTTCATGTCAAATACATCTTCCGAGATCCTAAAAATGTTGCTTCGCTAAGAGCTAGACCAAGCTTGGACTTGGACCAGCCCCACTCATTTTTGGTCCCGTCCAACTCTTGCACCATCACCTGAGGATCGCCCGAGCGTCGGCTACAGCGATAGCAGGAAACTACCAGCAATGGTCTCTAACCTACTACGATGGCCTCCAACCCAATAGCAATGGCCTCCAACCTACTAGCGATGGCCTGCAATCTACTAGCACTGGCCTCCAACCTACTAGCGATGGCCTCCAACCTACTAGCAATGGCCTCCAACCTACTAGCAATGGCCTCCAACCCAATGGCAATGGCCTCGAACCTACTGCGATGGCCTTCAACTTAATAGCAATGGCCTCCAACCTACTAGCGATGGCCTCCACCCTACTAGCGATGGCCTCTAACCTACTGCGATGGCCTCCAACCTCCTTGCAATGGCCCCCAACCTAATAGCGAGGGCCTCTAACCTACTACGATGGCCTCCAACCTACTAGCAACGGCCTCCAACCTACTAGCGATGGCCTCCAACCTAGTAGCAATGGCCTCCAAACCTACTGCGATGGCCTCCAACCTAGCAATGGCCTCCAACCTAATAGCAATGGCCTCCAACCTAATAGCAATGGCCTCCAACCTACTGCGATGGCCTCCAACCTAATAGCAATGGCCTCCAACCTAATAGCAATGGCCTCCAACCTAATAGCGATGGCCTCCAACCATAGCAATGGCCTCCAACCCACTACGATGGCCTCCAACCTAATAGCAATGGCCTCAAAACTACAAAGTACTAGGGAGGGCCTCCAACCTAATAGCAATGGCTCCAACCTAC